TTTTTTTCAAAACAAAGACGACATACTAATACACAATCGAAGGTATGGAAATTATTTCATGAGAATCAGAGGAGAAGTTTTAAAATGTTGAAGATCTATAAACAAAAAAAAAAGAAGAAGATTTGAAGTGTGTTTGAGAGAACCATATAAATTTTATTATTCGATTTTATTTGGATCATGACTGTCAATTATCTTACAAAGAAGTTGTTGATAAAATATTCTATAGACTGAGCTCATTGCTAAATCAAGGATTCATTCATAGGTAGATAAATCAGTCAAAAACAAATCAAATATCACTATCTTCTAATAGGCCCAGCAATTGAAATAGAAAATGTTTGTGTTTAATAGAAATATGATTGAGGAATAAATTATATCGCTGTTGATTAAACAAATTTCTGCAGTAACGAAGAGTGTAGGTGGATGCGATTATGCGCACTCACAACACCCATACCCACACGAAGTTTTAGAGGAAAAACTATTTTCCAGTTATAAATTTACTTATCTAAAACTTATTTTTTTGTGCAAGAAATGTTATGCCCTAAATGTCTTACCAATTCTAAGTGCATTTACGATTATAGTTAATAATGGTACTTTTAATTTTGAGTGTGCAAAATGAAGTATTTTAAAAGCGTATTCATATATGTGACTTAGGTTGAGAGAACTCTTTAGTCAAATGAATCTTATGGTAATAGCTTCAGAATGTTTTCTTTTCACAAATTCAGATGAGGGCAACTACATCACACGATTTCTATAATATTATCATCGTTTTGTTAGGAGAAATAAACTAACAACTTTTTCATCAGTAGTGCACTTTTAATATTTCTTCTTGATTGATTTCATCTTTGCAGAACCACAATCAACATCATCAGGAAAAAAAGTAACAACTATAATATCATCACAGCCAACACTAAGGAAGTTACTTAAACTTAATTACTAAAACATGGAATGTAAAAAACCTTTTATTGATACAAACGAACAAGAAGATAGAGTTGGCTGCAAAACGTGCAACTGCATATGATACATCACCAGAACGCAAAGTAAGTATTGTTGTGTTTAGGAGTGTGGGTGAGTATGGGTGTGGGTGCGGTTGAAATAAAATAATCACACCTTCAAGATGGTTAAACGAGAATGCAAATGAAGAGATGACTGTACGATATTATGTAAGTATTTTTCATATATTAGTGATGAACTCGTAGGATGTCTTTATATGATCAATTTGCTTCTTTTTGTAAAATAATGGAATTTGATTGTCGATTTCATTATACGATTGAAGTCAAGATTATAAATAATTTATTTCAAAGAACGAAAAGAAAAACAAATGTGGAGAAATGAGGATACTAAATAATGTTGTTATTTCACAACCTAAATGGACAAAATAATGAATGAATATATGGGAAAATGTCATTGAATAATGATGAGTTAGTTCGATTGATTTCTCTCAAAGTTCAGTAAGTTTGTACACACGGGCTCCACTATTTACACTGACATACAGATTAAGTTGTGAATCTGATTTGACATCATATGGTGCAGATAGCGTGGTACCATTAATACTAGCTCCTCCAATGATAATATCTGTTGAATTGCCATTGCAGAACAAACTGGACTCGATTGTTTATACGATCAGCCACATGTAAATTTTTCCATTGATCTAGTACTATTCGCATTGGATAGCTTAATGGAGTTGCGCTGGATCATGGTACCACTTAAGATAGAAAATCGTACTCTGTATATTTTTTCTTGTTGAATGATATATATGATAAGGGTTTAATATTAGGAAGGATAAATCGATATATAACAGAATACTATGATGTCGCCAAACGGCAACATCCGACCGAAAGGGGTCAAAGGGCGAGAAAAGTTCTTCTTATTCAAACATTTTGATATAGTGTATAGGTATGTTCATTTATTACTTAGACCAATATATCAAAAAAAACTATGAAAATATATTCATAAATCTGAAGAAAAATGTTGAAAACATTAACATTTATGTACAAGAATTATTACAAAATAAAAACACTGTTCATTGATGATAAAGTTCAAAGCTGTATTTTTCTTGAATTTATGCAAAGTCGTAATTGGCATTTTTAACACATAATAATTATTGAATAGCCGTGGCATCCAATATCACGACAACGTCCTTTAGTTATTGATTTTAACCAGTGATGGGATCCATTACGACGAGTACTGGATGATAGAAGTTGAATAGGAATAGCTCGACGTTGTTTAGATTGACTATTTGTTATGATTGAAGATCTGCAGTTAGTCATCTTCGCTGGACTGGACGTTCTGGTGGTATTGGTTTTAATAAAGCATCAGCAACTGGCATTCGAAATTGTAATAATGACAGAAGCTCATTTTTTGCTGATCAGAGTTGATCACCATCTTGATAGTGGGTGTGGGTGTGAGGTGTGGGGTATGAGTATATGCTCATCTCACACCACACCCACCCTTATATGTCTCCTTATCAAGAATTGCATCGCTTTCAGATAATTATATCCATACGTACTCGCCCAATAGAGAGAGAAAAAGAGAACACAAAGGAAAATCATAATAAAGATGAAATGAGATGGGGGTAAAGTATCACATGATGTATAGAATAAAAGGAATGCAAAAAAGGGTGTGGGTGAAGAGTTTAAGACAACCACAACCACATTCTCAAGGTGGTTGAAAGACTGAAATTATTACGTAGATTCTTGATTTTTTCAAAGTTTCTAATCACCATCCAATACCTACTCTCATATATACATGTATCATTTATCTTACCAATATTATAGATTAATAAATAAATCGTTTGATTCACATTTCTGACATTTCATTATCTCTTCTACAAATATTTTCAAACTTTCTAATTCATTAAACAAACACCATATCAGAAACACAACAAATATTTATTGAAATTATTATACAACATCAAAAGCAAACTAATAAGGATGTCTATTCATTGCAAGGTAAACCTAGTGCAAATTGAATGCTATTCATTCCTGTATCAATAAACACTAGATCATATCTTCCATCTCGATTCAAATTAATTACTTGCAAAGAATCACAACATTTATCAGTGCAACCTGCATGAGCTCCAAAATCTAAATTTTTTCGTTCAAAAAGTCCATCCATTGAACCAATAAATATTGTTACAGTTCCATTACAATGTAATATAGCTAAATCATCGATTCGATCATTATTAAAATTAATTCGAACAATAGATGTCGGATAATGATCGGTGAGATAAATCATTGGAATACTCTTCCATTTCGATAACAATCTATCTTCATAACGAAGTATAACTTGTAATGTATCCGATTGAGAAGAAATCAACGCTAAATCGACGAATTCATCGTTATTGAATCTTCCTGTGACTACAGCGGATGGATTTTTATACATTTTGTCATCTGTTAAAACTTCGTCTTTGAATGAATCTTCTCCCACATATGCACTTACACTGCGAGTTAACACGAGATCGTCATTGGTGAGCCAGATCATATCATTTCGTCTTGCATCATTATCCAAATCATCGACAACTATTGAAATAACTATACCCGGGCAGACATCATACGAGTATAGTTCGAATGTAAAGTTATATCTGTTGCCCATATTTAAAAAGATACTAAATTGAAATTCAGAATATTCATCAAGACTAACAAATAAATCAATAAAACCATCACTATTAATATCAATAACTGCAATCGCATTTATTTTATTGGAACTTGGACTGCTGATAATATTGTCAGTTGACGGAATAAATAGATTGTTTGATCCAGTGCCATAGAAAATAACTATTTGTTGAGTTGCAGATAAAACAATAACTAGAAAAGAAAGAACAACTTTCGAGTATCAATCATTGTTGAATTCAGTAAAATTCATTAATCTCATTATTTTCCTGTCATGATAAATAAGAGTTTCTTCGAGAATAAAATGTTAAAATGAAATTAATTGTAGGAGATGACCATTTCGAATCAATCTTGAAAAAGTTTAGTAATATTCAGAACTATCTTGAACTCAACTGAAGAGTACTCCAATCATATGGAAAATTCTTAGTGAAATTCGACTAGTTAATAAATGAGAGTTCTTAATAACTAATCATACTTTAGTGCAGTTGGTTTTTTCTTTGATAATAAGGATAAAACATAACATTATTCAGAGTTACTATTCAAAATCACTAGATATTATTTTTTTTCTCTTTTTGACTTAAACATCAGATCGATTATATAACATATGATGGTAAGGATTTCCGTCACATGACAAATTCTTACCCAAATCTAGAAATGTATCATTATCAAAATCACCAATTGCTATTTCTCTTGGACTAGATCCATTTCCTGTTGAATAGATTTGTTGTGTTTGGAATGTTCTATTCTTATTTCCCAGCAACACACTTATTGTGTCTGAATCAGTATTAGTCAGAGCTAAATCATCAATACAGTCATGATTAAAATCACCAGTCACCATTGACACAGGATTAAGTTCAGTTAGATAAATTTGAGATTGATACTTAAAAGTCATATGACAAATATCTACAAAACACAATAATCAATTCATTGTTTATCACACATTAAATTTACTTGTTGATGTCACTGTTGATTCTGTTATTAAATTATTACTACTTTCTGTAGTTGTTTGTATGGTTGTTGAAATAACTTGTTGTTCTTTATTTCGAATCTTAAATAAATTAACAGACACTGATAGTATTGCAGCTATGCCTAATATCGTTAAACACATTAGCATTATTCGATCTCGACGCATTTTTTCTCTACGAATAATGATAAAGTAAAAAGTAAATATGAGAAATATGATTCATTATGTATACGACTTACGGATGCCGCTCTTCTTCGACAGAAATCATATTGACCTAAAATATTAAAGATGTTTATCACAATGAAATTACGAATATCAAACGAAATAGAAGAAAATATCGACGATAGAAATGCGCCAGTGTCAGTTATCTGGCATTAATGCAGTTCTTATCAATGGGATTAAAAAAGTACCTGAACTATCGGCATTGGAATTGGAATTACGTCGCTCATCTCCTCCTCATTATGTTCATTATTCATAATGATATTCGATGATGTTAAGTTTGGTACTACTTGGCTTTTCTTCTTTCGCCAATCAACAATTTTGTATATGATAATTGCTAGAATGTTCACAAGAAAACGTAGTCCATTTGTCAAACCACCAAACAGAGCAATTACTGTTGTTACAACATACAATGAATTGTATTCTAATACATAAGAATATTCACATGACTGAGGTGCGCATTGATTAAAATAACGATCAAATGCTGTATTCTGAAACCATTGAGAAATAAACGTTTGATTAAGAAGTGATTCAAGCGTTGTATTAGGCATTGTTAATGAAGAATACGTGAGAACTTTAACTGGTAAAGGTTTAGAATAATAGATAGATGCTTGCATAAAATCAAGACATGTCTTATTATAGAGACAAGTCAAAGTTGACTGCAACAAAGAATCAAGCATCATACAGCCATGAAGAAATCCTGGAAGATGTTGTATGAATGGTTCTTCTGATGTCGGAAATGGGAATTCTGCTAGATTTGAACAATTCGATTGTATTCCGCATGAACAATCATGTGTTCCATATTTTTGTGGTCGAGTTAGTACATTCATCAGCTCACCTTTATGTATATTGACATTATTATGTGGATTTTTTCGAAAGAACATCCAGTTAGACGAATGTAATGTGCCAAGCTGATTTGCATGATTTATTGCTTGAATCAACTTGAATGTCTCTATAAACTGATCAGATATTGTTTGTTTGAACTGTTCGACGACTAATTTTATTCGACTGTCGAATTCAGTACGAGAAATAACATATGCTGTAATCAAATCAGTTTCTTTGAATATTGACAACGATATATTTAATGCATTTTGAGAGATTTCACAAAGTGTTGACAAAGTTTCGAATTGCATCCGAAGTATTTTACGAAAATCAATTTTGCTCATTTCGATGTTATATAGAAATCCGTCAGGCACGCTATTGAACCATTCTTTTGAAACGAAAATACTCGAACAGATCTCATAATATTGAGGTTCAGTTTGAGATATAAACTCCTTGAATTTGATTGTAATACGATTACATGGACATTGTAATGTTACAGGATATTGAACAAATAATTCTTCGTATTTTGATAATGATGGGTATGAAACTGAGTCTGTCACTGTCTCTTGTTTCAATGATGTATAAATAATAAGAATGAACAAGGTTGTAATTAATAATATCAAATAGATTCGAGTTATGTGTCGACGTCGACGAATAATTTGTGAATCTGTTGTCGGTGGAATAATTGGATAGAGATTTAATTCTTCAATCTTTTTTTTACCAGATATCCAAAGAGTTCGAAGAGAACTCCAAAATCCTAAAATGAATAATACTAGTTAGTTACTTACTATAAAAATTTTATCTCAAATTTTCGTACGGGTCTGTATAGATGTTGATGCTCTTACGGCATTGAAATTATTTTGTTGACGTTGAAGAATATAATTCCAAGTTTTCATCAATAATTTAACAATAAATGGTAATAATAGATATAGAACAACATTGATACCACCCATAAATCCAGCAATTCTTGCTACAATATAAATAAATCTCAATCGACTTTTATAACTGTATTGACATGTTAATGCACGACATTGGTTAAAATATGATCCATAGGAATTATTATCATCCCATGATCGAATAAAAAGATCATTAGCTAATGTTTCAATTCGATCATATTGATTATTATTCAACGATGATGATGATTTTAATGTAGTAATGTTAATTGATGATTGAGTTGAGTTAATGAATTTTTTAATGTTAGAAAGACATGTTTCATTATATAAACATTCTAATGTTGACATCAAGAGTGCTTCGAAAGGAAACTCTGATTGAACCATTCCGGGAATGATGTTGTTAATTTCATTGTCTTTTATTATGGTCTTTGGGTAACATTCCGAACCAGAAGGGGAAGAGCACAAATATGTCTCGTCTAATAATAATTCTTCTGGTGGTTTATGCTTAAATGGCAATAATGCAATATGTTCGTTAAAATCATCATCATCATCATCAGCATGAAAACTAAATATAGAATTCATTGGTGTAATGAATTGATTAATTTTAAAGTTTGTTCTTATCAATTGAATTACACGTTGAAATGATGCAGGTAGACTTTTTTTGAAACCTACCACGATTGAATCGACTTGTGTCTGAAATGATTGAGGATCGAATATTTTATTTGTAACAAATTTAGTTCGATAGAATGATTGAAGAGAATCTTGAATTGTTTCATTAGCCATTTGACATAATGTTGATAAAAGTTGAAAATGAAATTGAGATTGATAACGAAAATCATTTGTTAATAAATTTGTCATTGGACATTTATTAAATTTAATATTGATCCATTTAGAAGAAACAAATTCACTTGAACATACTTCATGATATTGCGGTTTCATACTAAAAATGAATTCATAGTCAATTGTTGTTTGAGTACAAGGACAATCAAGTGTTTTTGAATATTTCTCATAAAGTTGAATAAAATCATCTGCTGATATTGATTCAGAAGTATTTGTTTGTGGATCAACAGATGTAAAAATAGTGAAAATGATCAACGCTATAATTGATAGAATTATATAAAGTCGTGTAGTGTAACGTTGTTGTCGAATAATATTTTCATCTTGTGTTGGAGGAATACTTTGAAATAAATTTAAATCAATCAATGCTTGTTTGATTAATCCCAACAATCGTTTTATACGTTGACTAACGGAGAGTACTAAAAAGAGATACAATTAAAGAATAATCATTTTTTGTATTTGAATCTGTTTTATTTACTTCTGAATCACAGTAATCGGACAGAACTTACGCGAAACATTTCGCTCAAAACGCGATTTTATGCTAATAATATCTGAACTTGTTTCATATACAACTGATCTTATTTAATTCTTGCACTGATAGTCTACATCCTTTTATCCCGTTCTACTGTATATCTATAGAGAGAAAAATAATCGTTTTAGTAATAGGTAAGACTTCTATTGTACAGTTAGGCAAAAATTTCTGAAACACTTAGAACAGATACATTTCGATGAATAAAGCAAAAATCTGAAGTCTGAACGGTTGAAGTCTTTTGAAGTAAGCTGTTTCTCCTAAGATACATGCTTTTCAAATGTAGCTTAGTTAGAATTTTGACGACGTGGAGAGAGCACACTAGCATATATCTTTAAAAAAGAAAACTATAGATAAATACCTGTATTCACGTCTGTCTCTACCATATGTGTAGTTGCCGCTCGTCCTCGTCGTCTAGTAATAAACTTCCAAATAATTGGCCAAAGTTTCGTAATCAACAAAGGTATAACGATTCTCAATACTGATGATAATCCACCAAAGAACCCGATCAATGTTATGATAATAAACCAGAAATCGTGTATTGAAGTTGCTGTATATTGACATAGAGTCGGTGCACAATGATTAAAATAACGTTCAAAAGATGCATGACGTGACCAATTAGTAATGAACATTTGACTAAGTAATACTTCAACTGTGGGATATGAATTTGAATCATTGAGCTTTCGATATTCATTCCAAGAGCTAGTTAAAGTGTTGATATATTCTTGATTGTAGCAGATTTCAAGTGTAGAATGAAGAAGTGCACTTAACATATAACAACCTGTTTGAAAACCAGGAACATTATCATTATTCAATGTTGCTAAACCCATACAATTATTAGCAGTAGAACTTGAACACGTACAAGAAGATTCATCTTCAAATGTGTATTTTATTCCAGGATATGGAAAAGTGTCAAGAGGAAGTTCTTCAAAGTACGCTCTGGGAATAACACTAGTTACTGAAGCACCAGTCATAAATAAACTTTGTGCTGTAACATCTTGAATAAACTTCAATGTTCTCACAAATGTTTTTGATGTTCTATTAATATAATCTGTTATCAATGATGCCATTTGATTTTCAAATAATTCTTTAGCCATGACTTGAGTTTGAATAAATTCATTTTTTAAAAATTTTGCAAGACTATCGTTAGTTATTTTTTTTGCTAATTGACAAAGTGTACGAAGTGTTTGAAATTGAAATACAGCTATTCGATGAATGTCTGTTGAAATCGATCTATCCAAATTTTGTTCATAGAGACTATAGAGTCGATCAATATATCGATCAGAAACAAAATCACTATCACATAATTCATGATAAGAAGGTTTTATTTCAACAAATTCGTCATATTTTACTGCTGCATTCTTACAAGAACATTGTAATAATACTTTTTCCGATGAACTAGAATATTCGATAATTGACGGAGATGGAATTGAAATGGTTTGTCTATATCGTATAACTGAGTAATACAATCCGATAATGACTAATGAAATACTGAGAAGAGCTAAAAATAGTTTAGTTGATCGACGTTCATCTCGTATAACAGATTCATCTTGAATACCAGTTTCAAACATATTCAGATGACGGAAGGCAGTCTCAACAACTGCTAGACGAGACAGCAGATAGGTAGTGATTGGCATTATACTTTGATAGTATTGTTTATCTGAAAATGTGCTGATTAAAGACATACGTGATGACAGAAAATAAAAATTGTTCAATAACATATTCTATGACCACTATAAAAAAAATCTCGATGGATCGCATTTTATATATGTAGAATTTACGAATCTTTACGATAACATGAATAAGCTCAGGATATAATGATATATGGGTGAGAAAATTGATTATGACAAATGTGGCGCAATTGTTTTGCCTCGTAGAACATTATATTCTGAACTTATTCTCGGTATTTTGAAGAGCCTTGAATTCCACACGTAAAATACTATCTATCATTATTTTTTCACATTCGTCATGAAAATTATTGCTTTGTAATCTATGTTTTCTTTGGTCAAACATATTTCTAGTTATAATAGAATTAAAACACATGCTATATTATGTATGTTTTGAGAGGAACACGTAGAATACACTATTCAACAGATAAATATTGTTGTAAAAATCATGAGGTTGGGCGGTGAGAACCTTGGGTGTATCAACTATATTCTTGATCAGACTAGATGAACCAAAAAGACTAAAGGACTGAAAGGAGTTAAAACACCTAAAAGGCCCAAAGGGAATAATGGGACTAAAGAGAGTTAAAATATATGAAAGAGATAAAGGGTGTAAAAGCACTAAAGGATCTAAGAGGACTACAGGGAGTTAAAGTACGTAAAAGGGCGACAGAAACTAAACGGAGTTAAAGGATCTAAAAGGACTAAAGAAACTAATGTTACTTAAGGGACCAAAAAGATTAAAAGACCTGAAGATACTAAAAGAATGAAAGGCGTTAAAGAGAGAGTTGATATTCTACTGAAAAGTAAACCAGGATAAAAAAAGTTTCACTGGGACTCTTGCGGGTATCGATTAAAATCTTTGTTTATTCGATTCGAATCAGAGACCTAAGCTTAAACTTAAGGATGTACCGAGACCGAACCCCTCGGACTCGATTAAGGATCGAGTGGGAAGATGGGTGTGTGGGTGAGAGTAAAAAGAATAGTATCCGCACTCACCACACTCATACCCACACTGTCACCCGCAGCCACCCATCTCGAGGGTGTGAATGTGAATGTGGGTGTGGGTGAGAGTTTGGATATTGATGCGGTGACTGCGGGTTCTATTGTTTTCACTCACACCCAAACCCTAACCGAATGCGAGCCTCTCGGGCTTGGTACATCCCTAGCTTAAATATAGTTGAATCAGACGTGAGAAGTTATTATTATTTTCAAAATAACTCTCTTTTTACGATTTTAGTAATTAATGTGAATATAGTGTAATATATATCATGTACTATAATAGAAAGAGCACAATATTCTGAGCTAAAACAGATAGTTACATACGAGTCATATGTAATTATTTTAGGAAATATCTGAAAGAGTTATTTTAAATATAACAATAACATCACACTTCTAAACTGAATCACTAAAGTATAATCTGAGTTAACAAAAATTAGATAAGATAAAGCCGTACTTTGTTATTCAATGATGAATTATTACTTACTTCAACTATCCCTTATGCTAGTGGGCCGTTTGAAGTAAATGACAACCATATTTTTTTGAATGTATAAGACAAGTTTCTGGATACGTCTATATCATAGTTTGAAGTTTTTTCAATTCACGGATCAAGAATCAGATCCGCCCGTCAAAATTTGGCTGTTCACAGATTCAACTCACTACTAACTATATTTTCTTATTGAATCTTATGGACTAAGAATTATGATAGTCTAGAAAAAATAAAATGCAGTAACTTACAGCAGCTAAAAGATATCTGAAAGTAAAATTTTGTTTTGTAAAGAACAAAGAAAAATAAAAAAAAGGAATCTAAAGAGAGAGAAAAGTGTCAACAGAAGATGAATAAAAAAATAAATCAAAATATTGAACAGATGGAGGATAAAAAAGCATTCAGAAAATCATCGAGAAAAGACGTGATTTTATCACATACGCAGAATTTATCACAAAGATGAAACTCGTACAAAAAAAATGATTTCTGATGTCAATTTATAGATTGATTTTATCTTTAATTCATCGAATCATTCATATCAAATTTTTGTAATGAAAAATAGAGATAGAAGTACAGTACGGCTGACGCGTTATCACTATCTATGGGTGAGAAGTTCCAGAAATTTATGAATCAGATGTAAGTGTGGATAAAAACAAATCTTTCAACTTCATCCACACTCTCAGTCCTCAAACACCAACCGGTAAGAGAGATTGAATGTGAGCGTCGTATGTATCAGTTTTGCATTTATTCAAACATTCTACTAGAAAAACAAAATATATATAACAAAATCTAGAATGAGAAACTCTACAAATTCTAAATTGTATCTTATTTTATCTTTATATCTTTCGATTGTAAAACTGATAAAATAATATGTGAACACGATCATTTATTTTTATGCAACGAATTTTCTTGTTTTTCATCAAACATAGTTCAATAATATAAATTACAGAGCTTCTCACACTGCATTCTTTGGTATACTGCGCTCTCCTAATACAACGTATAAAGAAAAGAAAAACCGATACACAAAACACACATTTAAACTATCTTATCCGTCATTATATAATCAATTTTGAGCACCATTGACTTTAAAATGTTCCTCCAATTCATCTTTTGTCATCTATTATAAATAACAAAAACATATTCTTTTATCTTGTATTTATTATCCACCCTTCTCTTGTTATCATTAAACATTGTGATTCACAAAATCTTTCTTCTTTAAAAATATTTATATCAAAAATAAAAGAAAATCTTTTCATTACTTTTTATAGTTTATGATACACGTATAGAATGATATTGATGGAGTTACTCATTTTTCTTCTCAGTTCATATTAACTGAGTCAGACTTAAATAAGTTAAAGTTACTTCATGTTATTTTTTCTAATAAACTACAATGCAACCCTCCATCTTGTTGTGTTTCATAATTGATCTTCTTTAAAATTTATTCATTTTTCTGTTAATATCTATATAATAAAACAAATTCTTCTGCATCTTTTTATTAATTATTATGATATTTATCTTCTTCTGAATGAAATAAAAACAAATTGTTACTTTTTAGTTACATTCGCCAATAATCAACCGTAAGAATTGACTTAAATGACAGAAAAACTCTTCTATGTTTTAGTGAAAACTGAACAAGAGAAAAACAAAAAGTTTCTTTTTTTCTTCTCTATTCGCCTACCTAATGACGTCAATGGGAGTTTTCTTTTTTTTTGAAATATTTGCTGCAAACACAACATTTTAATGCGTCAAGAAAGAAAAACAATGAATCCGTTTCCTTTTTCAAAACTATAATATGAAAAGTCAGCGATTATTTACTGTAAATATAAAAAAATATTTATGATATTGAAATTTTGAAGGAAGGATGTGAAAACAAATGAGTGTTTCAAATAAAATTTAATGTTAATCTAGTTAATAATACATCGAAAATCATACCTTTGAAAAGGAAGTATAACGTTTGCTGAAGTTAATCATATAATTACAAAGAAATTAAACTGTTTATTTGAATATATTTTGCCAAAGAATCATTTGTATTTCTCATTAATTTTTCAAATCTATATTTCAAGTAACATCTAATATTCCTTAACAATTAATATGGTGATATAGAAAAACAAATTTAGATCATGTTTTTCGCACTTAGAAGTTTTTCATACCAATTTCTAATTAAAACTCAATAAAATAATAGAAAAAGTATTTATCATGCTTCTCTAATGTCATACTCCCTCTCTCTCTCTCTTTGTTTTAAATAATCAGTTTTTTCTGACGTATATCTTTGTGTTAATCTAAAACATTTGCAACAAAATATCATATATTAATAAAAACAATCAGCCCACTTCCTTTTCTAATGTTAATTTTCAAAAAAAAACAAATCTTGTCAGGTAGAGTTGTTATCTCTTATAAATATAAAATTGTTTGAGACAACATTTAATGTAATTATTAGTTAATAAAACATTGAAAGATCAGTGCTGTTCAAAGGATATGCAACATTTCCTAACACAGAAAAAGAAAGTGACGTCAAAAATGTTCTCCTATACACAAAGATTCTTCTAAATGAATTGAGAATTAGACAATAGTTATAGTTAGAAATGGATTTTAATTTGATTTTATCGTATACAATAGTTATTTTATAGAATAGATTAATGATTTAATTGGAAATCGAAATAAAACAGTCAAGAAAACAAAAATGACTAGCACTTGATCTTCATTTAGTTATAGTCTCTTAGATATGGTTAATCAATAGAGAAAGAACTATAACTATGATTCTAATTATAATCACAGTCATTTGAAATACATAGATCCTTTGAATGATTTTACATTTAGATATGACTGTCGCGGTGATTGTGGATATTATATTTGTCTCTCAATATTCTCCACACTATAAAAAGCTATTTATATTCTTTTAATCATTTTTCTCATTGGAGAAATAAAATATGACATATATTTCTTAATTTGTGATTGAATATTTATGTAGAGAGAGAAAGTGAACACAAAGGAAACAGCAGTTATATCAATACTGAATTATTTTATCGACGCAATATCTTTTCAACAATAATTTCATAACTAACAACGTAGTTACAGCTTAACTCTATAGACTTTCAAATGAATGAATAAAAAATAATATTAAATACTTTGTTCAAATACATTCTTTTTCTTTCAGGAAACTTTGTATTTCCTTCAGAAAGTGCTGATTTTCAATGTTTTTGTTTTTATTGAAATAATCATATTATGACTGTTGTTTGAACTAATTTACGTCACATTCTATCTCGTAGAGTTTGATGTTTACAACAGATATAATATTTTATTCAAAATTCATATGATGTTTTATCACAAATATTCTATATAAAAACGATTATATGCAGTGAGCATCAGAGTCATTCATTCACTGATTATTACCTTTATTTTAAATGAAACAAAGACATAAAAATAAAGCAAAAAATATCATTTGAGAATCATTTTTTTGGTATTGAATAATTTGAAGAGTGTTGAATTT